ATGGAGTCGTCTTGGAGCAATGGTTTGGAAAGAGGCTTTTGGGTTTCTGATAATGGTTTCGAATTCCCAGTTGAAACCCTGAAAAGAACCACAAATCCTCAATCTGAGAGGAACTTAATCCCATTCTGTGAAGGGGAATTATTAATGGTTGATATGATGTGGAACTCACTGGTAAGTTCTTCAAGTGCTGACAGAGATGATGATGATGATGGTGCTATCAAGATGTTATCATCTGAATCTTCATTGCCATCAAAAAGACCCAGAACTACAAATCATGAGGAAACAAAGGGAAGAGGACAAAGTTCACCGACACATACACAAGACAGTAGTGTCATGAATTTTAGTTGTTCCCAGGTTCCTGTCTGCCAAGTTGATGGGTGTAAGAGGGATCTTAGATCCTCTAAACACTACCACAGAAAGCATAAAGTGTGCCCTGAGCATTCTATTGCTGCCCAAGTTGTTGTTAATGGAGCTGAGCAGCGATTCTGCCAACAATGCAGCAGGTATATATGTTTATTCTTCTGTAGTACATGGGCGTTCATGTTCCTCTTTCATGGCATATCTGCAATATAATGAACTTTTATGATGCAGGTTTCATATAATGGCAGAATTTGACGACAAAAAACGCAGTTGCCGCAAACGCCTTACACAGCACAATGAGCGCAGACGAAAGCCTCTGAACCAAATTCATTGGGGTAACCAAGATTCTACATTCTTTGTTTTTTTTTTTTTTTTTTTTTTTTTTTTGGAGGATTACGAGGAAATTTGCAACTATTATTCAAATCCGCATTGTGATCCTAATTGAAGTAAACCAGCATAGATTATTTATAGTTGATGAGTTCAAACTAAGAAGATCAATAGACTGTTTTCATTAAAAGTTGAACTTGTAACCACACCCTTGTAACCTTAGTCAGAAGTAAACCAACCTAGGTAGGCTGCTCTCATTAGGAGTAGAAGTACACCCTTGCAGCCCTAGCCAGAAGTAAACTAACCTAGGTAAGCCATTTTCATTGGGAGTCGAACTTGTTGTAACTACAGTACCCTTGTGACCTTATGCAGAAGGTAAACCAGCCTAGATATATTGTTCATAGCTAAACAGTTCAAATTAATAAAGCCAATAGGCCACTCTCTTTAGGGGTCCAATTTGTAGCCACACCCTTGTGAGTTGTGACCCTAACCGAGGTAAATCAGCTTAGGTTATTTATAGCTGATCGGTTCAAATAAAAAAGGCCAATAGGTCGCTGCCTTTGTCAATTCAAACTTGTAATCTTGTGATGATCAAATCAATTGTTTGACCAACTTGGCCGGGATTTGCCGGTTCTAATCTTGTCATTTTAGCTTATCCATTGTGATTTGATCTGCAATTGTTAATCCATTCATGTGGCAGGGGCTGCAGCAAGGTTCCTAGATGTGGCTTCCCAGAGGCTGCCAATGCCATTCCACTTTCCTGCACAACTTTCCCAGACTTATTTCTGCCATGACATCTATGGGAAGAACAGTAGCTGCCAAATGGAATCAACAGTACTGCAACAATCAAATGCCCACACCAATGCCAATCAGCACGACCCACAAAAACAAGCTTCCATGGAAGAAACTTCATCAGCTGCTGGCCGAAAATCCAAACATGCTCTCTATCTTCTGTCAGCAGAACCAACTGGTGGCAACCTTCCTGCTATCACTTCAAATAGCCTCACATTCCATGGCTGCAATGGAGCTGATCAGCCAGAAGGAAATTATCAAGAAAGTGGATCTGTTCTTGATCTGCAACAGTTATCAGCTCTGTTCCAAAGGGTGCAGCAGCAGCAGCAACAGGAATTCGCTTCATTTTGATCTAAACTGTACCGACGAGGGAAACCTGTAATCACTATATATCTAAGGGCGTGCACTGGTAAACCCCGTTTTGTGATCAACTGCAACAGTTTTCATTATTCTGGCTGCAGGTGCAATAATCATCTGTTTATGCCCACTTCCTCATCTGGATGGTAAAATAGAGCAGGCTATGATACTATATCGATCTATCTGTTCATTCACTATTGTAAATAAGTGGCATGTGTGAGCTTATCAATCCCATTATACATTATTCTGTATGCACAAACATTCCTTTAAGTACTGCCTTCAGGCATGATCCTAATGTGAACCAGTTACTTAGGTTCTAAATTGAATTGTGCTGATGACATTATTACATTTTTTGCACACAATGCAAAGGAGAAATTCTTTCCCCCTAGGCCGACAAGATAGTAGAAAGATAAATCAGGTGACTCAGTAGCTATTAAGTGGGAGTACTAGTGCTAGCAAATTATATCGCGCACCGCGCATCAAAACGACGTCGTTTTATTTAATGAAAAGAAACGGAATCCGTTTCGCGCCGTTCCGCAAAAAATAACTCTGTTCTTCAATTTCATTTTGTATGCCCTGCAATTTTAGTTCAACACAACTACAGGTTCATTTCGATATAACTACAGTTTTATTCAATATTTATACACTCAAATATGTGAAAATGTTATTTAATTTTATTTTATATACACTATAGTTTTATTAAAACACAACTACATGATTATTTCGATATAATTACAGCTTCATTGTAAAATATACACTCAAATATGTGAAATGTTATTCAGTTTCATTTTATATATACTGCTTAATATAACTGCAGTTTCATTTGATAATATAAAAATAATACGTGAGGCAGTGTCGGTTTAGATACACTGTAGTGTCAATCTGTTAACACTAACCGCGCGTCGTTTCTTTACTTAAAGAAACGGTGCCGTTTTGATGCGCGGTGCATAATCGATTATGCACCACGGTCCACGATATAACAATTGACTAGTGCTTTGTGCCTACAAGGAGCTCACAATCGACTAGGGATGTCAATTTAGCCCGAACCCGATGGGCCGACTTGATAAAACCGAAACCGACAAGGCTATGGCCCGAATGGACTAGCTCGATAAAAAACATTAGCTCGATGAGCCCGAAACCGATAAGCCCGATGGCCCAATAGGGCTAGCCCAAAATTAAAAGGACTAGCCCGATAACCCGAACTATTGAAAACTATTCTTTATTATATAAGTGATGTGAAGCCTAACATATATGAAATAATTATTATAAATATATATATATATATATATATATATATATATATATATATATGGTTCGGATCAGGTGAGGATCTAATCTTAGGTGAGGACATGAGTACTAATTTAGACCATTAAATCAGAATGCTGTATAATTGAGATTAAAAGGAACAAATCACACGGATTAAGGAAACAAATCCCTTTAAAATATTAAAATATATAAATTTAGGGTAAATCAATCTTATTAAAAGATGTTCATTCCTATACAAAATGTTATGCATTCCTATACTGAGTGTTGTGCATCGATAACTTTATAATTGTGCATTTAAACCCCGCTAAAAAAAAATCCTACAGTGGATATCCCAATGTCCTAGATGCACTGAACTATGTACTATAATGCACAACTCTCTAGCCTATGGCGCACAACTTACAGTACTAGGTTGCACAATCAACACACACGAATGCACAATCGTACTATCCAGACATTTAATTTGTACATATACACGACCATCCAAATATAGACAATATTATACTCAAAAGAACGAGCAAAAAAAATAAAAAATACTGATTAGTTTGCATGGGCGAACACTCAATCAATGATGAAGAAATCACAGTTCCAAATTACAACGGTGATTATCCAAGAAAATAGGAAATCAATTTGGACAACGATTACACATGCCTTCACACTTAAAAAAAAAAAAAAAAAAAAAAAGACACTACTACCCCACTTTAACAAAAAAGAACAATCCATGTCATCTCAGGAACTCAAATCTGGGTCATCCAAAAAAAAACAAACAAACGCACAAGATTAGTCTTCACCTCCTCACCTAAGATTAGGTCCTCACCTGATCCGAACCCTATATATATAGAATCGCACTCAGGTGCGAATGCTTCGCCCATGAGCGAAATAGGAATGGATTCTGTCTGTCCACGTGTCCAGATCTAATGGATGAGAAACACTGAATTTTTTAAAAAAGCGCGGTGGCATTTTCGTAAATAATTGAACATCGAAGTGCAAGTAAAATGTATTATAGGTGCAAGTAAAAATTTACACTGAGCATCAATACTAAGTGCACCTATAGTTATAAGTAGTTGCACCTATAGTTCTAAGTAGTTGCACATATAGTTATAAGTAGTTGCACCTAGGTGCGTGAATGTTTGCGGGTGGTTTTCAGAGGTATTACTACCCGCTCAACTCAGATCAATGAATGTTAACAAGGCAAAATTACATGCACTTATAGGTGAAAGTAGGTGCACCTATAGTTATAAGTAGTTGTACCTATAGTTATAAATAGTTGCACATATAGTTATAAGCACACCCAGGTGCATGAATGTTTGCGGGAAGTGAAGGCTAACAAGGTAAAATTACATGCACTTATAGGTGAAAGTAGGTGCACTTGTAAGTGATTTTACTTGCACTTCGATGTTCAATTATTTACGAAAATGCCACCGCATTTTTTTAAGCTATTTGATCTGGACACGTGTCGCGCGCTGATTCGTTCGCATATTCCTTCCTGGGCACTTATTCGCACCGGAGTGCATCCATATATATATATATATATATATATATATATATATATATATATATATAATTAAAACTTAAGTTTTTAGTTTTTTAAACTTTGAAACTACATTAATTTAATATTTTGACTAAAAATTGACCGAGAATGGGGATTCTCCGTCCCCGCCAAATTCTCCGTGGAGACTAGGATGGGTACTATTTTCAATTTCCCGCCGAGGATGGAGACGGGGAGTATACTTCCCGCCCCGCCCCGTTGCCAACTTGCCATCCCTACTCTAAATATGGGTACTCACTTTCAATTTCTAATTTTAGTTCAGATGGTTCAACCCGCCCGATTAGCCCAACAACCCGAAGTTTAGGGTTAGGGCCAAACCGAACCCGAGAATTAATATTAATAAACCAATTAGCCCGACAACCCGACAGGGCTAGCCCAAAACTGAGCGGGATGGCCCGACTGACATCCCTAAATGCGACTACCATGACTCGATCTTGTGTCCTTCCCACAATCTACCATACAGAACTAACTGAGCTACCCGTGCAGACCATTATTACATTTTTTGTAAAGTAAACAAGTTAAATATTTATGGAACAATATGTTATAAAAAGTTTTACTGGTTGTTGGATGGTGCTAGAAGAGCCGAGTCCAGCATCAATCTTGCCATTAAAACGTGGCACTGACTGCTACACAAGTATAAGAAAATAAAGTTATATTCACAACTAGCTATAGTTTTTGACATAGTGGTTGTTGGGTTTTAAGCTTTAATTTTGACAATTAGCTAGTGTTACAGCATGTTTGGCGTTGACTGTTACACAATATAAGAAAATCTATCACTTTTAACGTCGTAATGATAAGTATTTGATCTTGACATTGATATAACTTTGCCAAGTATAATATGTGCTCATTTGGTCATATGGACATAATATAAATGCACACAGTAATCCAAATTATTATTTACATCTAATCATTTGCATTAGATGTACGGCCATTAATGTTTATATTTGGTTGGAGTTATGTTTCATTATATTTTAATGCACAATTGCGTGCATTGCTTGTTTCTAGCCTGCAGCTTCTTAGGTTTTTTGGTGTTCCACATGTTGTTGGGTTTCTTCTCCTAATATGATAATGATTAATGATGATTACATTAATTGTAACTCCATGCATAATTATTCATTATTTTTAGTGAAAGTTAAAACTCATGAATCACGAATAGGCCAGGTGATTCACGAAGGGGCATTATGGTCATTTCACTTAGTTTGTTCCTTTTACCATTTTGCCCTTTCATTTTGATCACACAATTTGGTGATTCTAGGATACTCAGCTCCTTGTTACTGAATTCAAACTTTCAACTACTAATGTTAACAACTTTGGAAAAATAAGGATACAAAATGAAGAGCCATTGGAATTCTAGAACATGATGAATGCATGTAAGTTATGGTTCACATAATGTGATAGAATATTAATATTAAAGATGATTGTAAGTTGGTTCTATTTAAGGTTTTATAAAATCTAAAAAGTACTTTTAGATATATCGGTAAGACCAAACACGATACAATTATTGTATTTACATGTGACATTTATGTAGAGTTAGGTTTACCTACCATTTTATAATCAATCAATCATACTGTATTTTTTCAGTCACAATATAACACACATTGTGCTATGCTCCACTAGCAATAACATTGGGATCCATTTCTCCTTTACTATTCAGAAGGCCGACAATGTAACGTCTTACCATGTAACCTTTGTTTTCAACACCGAACTTGTAAGAATAGAACTTGGTTATTTTTAAAGGTTTTGAGTTCGAGTTTTATTGTGACAATTAAACAGCTGTAATCATTAATTGCTGACTTTGATGTCCATGATCTTTAACCTGACAAGTAGGACAAAAACCCTTGACAAGAAATGGAAGGTAAAGAATTCTAGCCACATAGGACCAAGTAGAAATAAAAATGGACAAAGATTTCTCCTCGTGCCTTTTGTGTAGTACGTCGTGATTACCATGTTATCTGTCTTAATAATCCTTGTACTTGAACACCATAAAGTCATAAACTCAATACCTCAATCTTATCACCTTTCTTAATTTTGTTCTTCAGCTGCCTCTCTGGAACAAGAAATAAAAAGTTGTAATTTATGCCCCTCCATAATAATATATATGTCAATTATTAATGTCACCCCTGAATTATTAGTAGTGTAAATGTTACCTCTCAATTTTCAAAGCAGTACAAATATTGTCCCTCCCGTATCGTACGGGAGGAGCAATATATATATATATATATACCATTTTGAAAATTAAGGGACAACATTTACATTTGGGATGGGCAATATATGTATCATTTTGAAAATTGAGGGGCAACATTTACACAACTAATAATTCAGGAGTGACATTGATAATTGACATATTATG